TGCTAGTGGCATGTTCCTAAAATACAACATTGTCTCCAGGATTGACTGAGTCAGAATAAGGCAGTAAACTTCTACTTACCTGGCTCACTTCCTTGATGAATATCCCTAAAAGGGCTTTTCCCAATCCACACCCAGCAGAGCATGCCATGCATTTCCTCACAGTGAATAGCTGCAGGTTGGATTTCATAGCCTAAATATCCTACAACAGTTCCTATAAGAATATATTAAGGGTGGAACTTTTTTTTGCAGTGTGAAAGAATTGGCTCCTTTGCACAACACCGTCAGCAGGACATCTTTAATGCATATGTGGCAGAGGTGCAGGTTTAGGGATCACTCTGTCATAACGGTCCTTTGTGAGGTAACCCATATTTATTGCTGCCAAATCCTTAATTCACAGTGTCACTAATCCTGATGTGGATTATCTGGGCAAAATTTTAAGTGGTATTAAACCCCCTGAAGAGGGCACTACATTTTCTTAATAACCAACACATTCTAATGCAGCTACAGATAGACAAAGTGAAGATACATCTTCATTGATCATTTCTGCAGCTACTGCTAGGTAGCACCAATCTTTGCATGGACACTTCTGGAGACACCAATTTGCATGTGGAAAGATAAGAGTCTATTTCTTAAAAAAAAAAAATTATCAGCAATCAGGTGAGAGAGAGATAGGGTTCTTTTTGTGTGAATCAGAGTAAGACTCTAACTATATATGCCTAAAACCAGCCAGGAGGGCAGGCAATCTGGCTGCAATCCCTGATCACTCCCAGCACGTGCACACATCTATCTGACTTTTCAGAAGAAAGGAATACTCCTCATCTCTAAGTAAAGAGGTACCTTGAGAACTCATGCAGCACATTAACAGAAATCTAGTTTTCTCAATTAATGATCTTTTGCTTGGGTCTAGGACTTCCACTGCATAAAACAGTAAAATGCTGCTTCACCAGATCTGAGCAATCCCAGAGGTGGTTTAAGTAGCAATGCAAAGGAGTTCAGCTTCTTCAGGCTTTGATATTTAAAGCAGCCTGTGGCAGCTGCAGAGTTGGCAGCTGTGGGAAGCTGTATGTGATGCCAACGGTGGAAAAGATGGGTTCAACTCCTTCCCTGGTCCAGGAAGACTCACTGGTGTCACTGTCATGAGTGTGCACTGGAAGGGACAAGGATCCCACACTTGGTTCACCAAACCTTTCCCGTCACTCTTCATATTAAGGCAGCACTCGTGTCCTGTTTATGGACAGGGAGCAGCTTGTGCTGGGCACTGACCATGAAACTCAGAGCCCCAAAGAGCCGATGGCTGTCTGCCAGCACATGAAGAGGGCAAGGGGACAAGGAAATGTGCTCAGCTCTGCTGGGACAAGAGAAGGCCCCAAAGCCTGCAGTCTTAAACATGCTATCTCTCTAAACATTTCTCTCTCTTTTTTTGGTAATAGGCTGAATAGAGTTTTTAAGGAAGAATTTGAAGATCAGTAAAGTAACTGTATTGCTATTAACAGAGAACATTTCTGCAACCTGACCTACCACCTGGTGGAAACCAGAGAGTGAGTAATAATACCACAGATGGAGTAATCCTCTTGGTATTTATGATTTGTTTGGTTGGGTGGATTTGGTTTTGTTTGTTTGTTTGTTTGTTTGTTTGTTTGTTTTTCCTGGGGTGGGGTGGAGGGAGAGAGTTAATGCTTTTGTTTAAATTTAAAAGTGTTTAGAGAGTACAAAAGTCAACAAGTACAGTTCTGTGTTCTTTTCCCTTAGATAATGCATTCACTCCAGCTAAATATGGGAACAAATGCCTGGTGCTATTGTTACAGTAAGGAACTGGGGAAAAAAAATATGACAAAAGCATAGGCAGGCTATGGGGTCATGTTATTTTGGACTCCAGGATCTTTTTGAAAAATACCTGATGGCCTGTAGGGTCCCATGTGGTTTACCTCAGGTAAACCATCAAGCCCCGTGGGCTCTGCCGCCAGGTCTCCACCAGTGGAGGGTCTCCATGCATTTGTGTCCACATGGAAGTTGGCAAGGAGGCAGAGCCAGCTGCTGGGAGTAGTGCCTTCCAGATCCAGCTGGGAGCAAGGAGGAATAGTGCACACCAGCTGATAAGGCTGGTACAGCTTTTCTCACTAAGGCTGAGTAAATCCCCGAAGGCCCTGGATGCCACTAAGCAACTAAAATTCTAGAGCATGTCAGAGTCATCCCAATGATCCACATCTGTTGGTTCAGCGAAATGGGGCCTAGAAATGTTGTGAGAACGGGATCTCTGCACAGAGACCTGTAATTTTGCTTTCAATCTTCCGGGGCAAGAACCAAGATGAATAAAAATGGGAAATATTCACAGGGGGAGATATTTCTCTGTAATCACAAGAGCTTTGCATGGTGTCATTTTTGATGTTGAAACTGCAAAACCTTTGCCTTACATTTGCCTTGGTTCTGGTTGTGTTTTTTACTGAAATGTACATCCAATGTTTCCTCCACTGTACTTCTTGCAAAAATAACAAGCTCTAAAGCTTGTCCAGTATGCTTCAGCAAACCAAGCAGTAACACTCACTGCACTGGACCATGACCATATGTACATGCAGGGCTGTCTTTTTGTTTTCCATTCCCATGTTCAGACAGTGTCACAGTATCTTTGATACAAATGATTTCATTGACTTAATAGTTGATTGTATACCACAGAAGTTTGCAATAGCCTCGGAGGTCATGTTTAATGACACAGTTTTGCAGAGCCCAGCCACTTCCTTCCACATGCACAGCTATCCTTGTGCTTTCAGCTGTACCATAATCCCCTTCTTGCCCTAGATAGCCCATAGCCTGGTAAGTGGGAGAAATCTCAGGAGGGAGAGTCCACACAACCCCACTGGGGACAGGGATCTTTCAGGCAGGTCAGTGGGTACTTTTGCATTGCTTTGTGCCACTGGAGCTGGTTGAGTTTTTACACTTTTTTCCACCCTTTTTTTTTCCACTCCTAGTGCCCAGATAACTCAAGCAGGATCTAACAGCTGTCACAGAAACAATCCTCATAACCTATCTTGAGGTGAACTGACTTTGTCCAGGGCCCTACATATTCCAAATCTAATGTCTAATCTACTAAATCAGCTCCTTGGCTAGCCTACAGTTGTAGGAAAAAAAATAGGTAATTTAAGTGCTGATTTTTTGTGTATTTTCTGTGTTGAGCTCTGTCTAGAACTTGACAGTACTCACTGGGGAGACATAGAAAAGAAATTACTATAAGGTTTGCTTATAAATGATATAAAAAGTACCTGGTTGAAACTGTGTTTAGTATTTCATGCAAAAGAGTCTTGAAGAGTCAATTAGACATGCACAAACTAACGAACTGCAAAAAAAGGCTTTTCCTCCATTAAATACCTCTCTGTAATCATCAATATTCTTAAAAAGTGTAATGATTTCTTATAAGTGCTTGAATGAACCGTAAAACTACCTTTTGAAATATTGATATTTCCACAATTTTGAACACAAGAATGTTTTCTCTTCTATATAGAAGCTGACGGACCATTGACTTTCAGTGTATTTTATCCCGGCTGGAGAACATACTGTATAATGCAAATAGGTGCTCACTTAGTAGCCTACATTTTTCTCTAACAGGTGTATGAGGCTTCTTTGTTTCACATGCTTTAGCTTTTGATTTAAGACTTAATCAAGGCATTCTCTGCATGGGGTGTTTTATATGAATAAGGGTGATGGCTATCTTTATCTTTGAACCTGAAAGCAGAAACATTTCACAAATGGTTCATGCTCACATTTTTGAGGATGCTTTATCAACATCAGTTCTAAGGGATTATCATCTAGACAAATCATGGCAGCTCAGTTAGTGTCAAGGAACTGCAGTGATTTTCATAGTCGAGTTTCAGGCCCTGCAACACTTGGTATCACAAAGGAAACAACAGCTACAGGTGAGAACAGTGACACATGTTCTACTGAACTGTCCTCTTCTACACTGGATTATAAGCACATTTGATTTCAGAACTAATGTCTACAGCTAAGTATCCAGTTAAAGAAAAGTCAATAGGACATTATTTTCTCAGAAAATGCACTTCCATGATCTCTGAAACTGCAGAATGCCAGGCTGACTTCTCCAACAACCCATATCAGTCAGAAAGAAATATAGAGGTGGCAGAAACTCATTATTTGTCAGACAGATTGATAGCTATGAAATATAGTATTTCAACTTTTGCTTTTCAAAGCACTCATGTGTGGTTTATTTAATGCCATGTTATATTCTAGATGAGAAAACAATTTAAACATGTAAAATGTCAAAAGAAAGCATTAAGTGATTTGAGATTTCTTTTATTTTCAAAGAAAAATTTACTTTTACTTTGGAAGGAAAGTAGATTATGAACTCTCCAAGTCCTGGGTACAGCAGATTTATCTCTCTCCAGCCTGCTCTGCTAATGACACCAAGTTGTCTCCCTGTGTGTTTTGGGTTGCTTGTTTGTTTTAAGGAAAAAAGCATAAGAAACATCTCCAATTACTAAATATCCATTACAATGGAAGCAAAGAAAATTATCTGTGCCAAGAGCCGCCCCTCCCTGGTGCCTCACCCTGTGGGTGCCCATGCCCTGGGGCTCTGCTTCCATGCTGTGTGTGCCTGCCCCTGTGCCACAGTCCATGGGCTCCTGGCAGGTGCTGCTGCAGCTCCTGCAAAGTGAGTAACCCAAAGGATTGGATTTAGTTACCTTTTCCTTTGTGCTCTGGCACAATGCTGTACCTCACCCCATGGTAAGCCTCTCAGGGCTGCAGCAGTTTCTGCTGCTGCACATTTACTGAACTTGCTCTAATATTTAAAATGTGTTTGAGGAAAAAAAGCTGGTACAGGAACATCTGTGTTTCTCACCCCAGTCTGGACTCAGGAAATCTGCCAGTTGCCTAGAATACTCATTTAATTGTAGACATACCTTTATCTCTAGTCTGCCTTATAACTACATGACAGGAAAATGCAAATCCTTCACTATGCTACAATTTAACAGCAGGACTCACTGAAGCCTTACAATATTTATTAGATCTTTTATTTATTGTCAGTTGCCTCCTTTTAAGTATGGCATGGACACACACAGATACCTACATTGTATTTTACTTATATCAGTAGGTGTGGATCATTCTCCAAAACTAGTAAAAAGGATTTTAAAAGGTGTCTGTCATCTGGAAAGCTTTTTATTATCCAGTGTCAGCCACTGGAAATTATGTACAAACTAAAGCAAATGGAACAAAAGTTAATTATCTAGTACGGCTATTGTTATTATGTAGAGGAGCCAGCCCCTATTGATTAATGAGTCAGTGTTATGTTTGCTCACAGGAATATTAATATCTCGTGCACAAGAGAAGTCATTAAAATGAGCAAGGAAGACCTTGACTTTAAACTTAAAGTGCACATTGCTCTAGTTATGTGAATCATTTTGTCAGGTATAGCATCATAGTTATAAATTATTGAAACATGTAGTTATTGTAAAGATAATTCACATAGCCTGTTTGAAATTAAGCAAGTCAATACTCTTCCCATTATGTTCTTCACTGTTACAATTAGGAGACTTCAGGTGGACAAAAGAAGATTTAGGAGATAGGATAAGACTCTGGTGTGTGAGTCTTTGCCTCACCTAACCCCTCACAGCATGAGAAAACAGAATAATGCTGTGTCCATACTGAGCTGATGGAAAGTGCGGGATGGGTCAAGAGAGAACTCTCATAAAGTGACTGCAGAGCACTCCAGATGGCCCAACAATAATTAGCAAGTAGGATTAAGGTATATTTCAGAATCCAGGTCCATCACATTCCCTCTTCAAATATTCCCAAAGCCACCAAATTATGCACTGAAAAACCTACATTACTATTTTTTGAAAATGTATGTTACAGCATTATGAATATAATAACAGCTTACTGGAAATACAACTGTACCTGCTTTTGCATCATGCTAAGACCTCAAGCTTAAAAAATCCAAATGGAACTACAAAGTTGAGGTCCATGATTCATTTACACTAATGCTATGTTACATCACTATGAGAGAGCAGAGGAATGTTTAGGTGGGAGTATGTTTTATTGTATCTAATTTACATGCTATTATTAAGAGCAAGCCAAAAGCAGTCCTGGTATAAATGAGGATTAGGTGTCATGTAATTTAAAAAGAGAAGATATCAAAAGGGAATATAATTTAATTTTATTAATGTATAAGTAGAACTAGGACAAAAATTAATACTAAAATATTGGAAATATTAAGCAGTATTTTGGGGATGTTTTGTAGGTATGTTGTAGGCAGTTCCTGTTTCTGTAAAATGAAGGCATAAGTTTGAATCTACATATTGTGTTTCATTAACTTTAATGCATTACTCATGTACTTCATGGTGAGCATATGTTGGGGTCTTGACAGAAAGTATTGATACAGAATTAAAACCCCATCTTTGAAAAAATGGATCTGTTGGACCAAACTGGTATTAACTTTCCTGCGAGCCTCCACCAATTCCAGTGAGCATCAAACCTCTCTCTTTCATCAACATAACTCATTTCCACGACCAACTGTTACCTTATTTGGCTTGTTGTGACAGCAGAACAAGAGACTAATCCCCAGAAATAGCTGATCAATAAGAAACTGTCCAAAGGATAAGAACAAAAACAGCCAGTGGTCTAGAAAACATAATCTACTTGGGAAGATTGAGTGGTGTAATTTAACCCAGAGAAAGTAACTAAGAAGGTGTAACAAACTTCAACAAATATGCAAACATTTATGGGAAGAAAAGAGGAAATTATTGTGCTTTGTGTTCAACTCAATTATTGTGCAGTTCTTGAAGGTGGATAGATCAAAGTGTAATCCATTTAAACTGTAGCAGGGAAGATGTCAATTAAGAATGCTTGGAGGTAGACTGCATGGTGAGGCCGAGGCGATTCATCCTCTGTTTCCTTTTGTGTTCCACTGTTTTAAAGCTTTTCCTTCATGCTGGTCCTGCAACAGAAGATGAGAATGGGTTGTAGGAGGAATATAAGCTGTCTAGAGAGTTGCAAGGTGGAGGGAATTTGGCCTCTTCATCCACTTTCCTCTCTGTTCCAGCAACCTCTTTAGCAGGGCCTGAGGCAATGTACAACATTGCTCTTGCTGTGCCATGAGTCTGGATGTGGCTGACCCAGAGAGCCTTTCAGGATACAAAAATTCAGCAGGGAGACACACAGGGGAGAGCAGGAATGATTTTTTTAACTGGAACCTCAGCCAAATGTCAACAGAATTTCGGGTAAGGCAGCAAAGCTGCTTCTGGCCAAGAGGATAGCTCTCAGTGCAGGAGAATTCCCAGCTGCAAACAGAGGGAAGATGAGAACATCTCAAAGTAAAAGTTACAGAAATCCTCTATAATGGAGCCTAAATCCAGAGTACTGAATTCCTTCTGTTCTGGATCATGCCAGCATGGAGAGCTAGTGCTTCACCCTGAGTCTTGGCTGTGGGACCAGGTGTGTGTGTACACAGCACCCATGAGAATTCTGTTTCTCCTGGGCCCCAGGACATGCATCAGGATGGGCTGGAGTTCACTAAAGGAGACGGTAGTCTTGGGAGACAAATTCTGCTCTTAATTAGTTTGGCCCACCTTACTGACCTCAATTTGTCCTAGCATTTCCCTGGCTCTTGATGAGCTACTGTCCAAAGAATTGCAATACAAATGTTTCAGTGTCAGTAACAGTGCCATAAAAAATGACAGCATCTCAGAGGACACCTTTAATGTTCTCAAACTATATTACAGATACAATTTTTGGTAATCTAATAAATAAATATTTTGGGTTTAATGAAGTCTGGCTGTAGCTTTTTTAGTCATGGGTGGATTTTTGTTCTCACTCTGCTAACTTGCAAGAAGTAAAAGAAATCAAAACAGATCTAATGATTTCAATTAAACATCTTATATTTTCACATAAAAAAAAAATCTATCAAATTTGCACGGAAATATTTTAAGGTTAATAGATTACCTCTGAACCCCAAGGAAATCAAGATTCTTGTGCCTGCCTGTCATTTACTGAAGTGGTTACTTATCTGTCAATATTTCTTGCTTTTTTTTCAAGTCCCAGGCCTACTTGATCTTGTCCATTTGGCACTGCTGGAGGAATAACAAGTTTCTTCCCATCATGCATCTTTCTGGGATACATCATGACAGAGAAATCTCAAAGCCCAGGTCAATTATAACAGAAGATGTGTAGCACCTCTGCCCCCACGGCGTCTTCTGGGGATCCACTTGGCAAAATGATATAAAACTATTTTCGAAGACTTCCCATGATCTGGCACTACTTAGGACTAAGTGACTGGCAAAATGTAAGGAAATATGCATATGCAGCTCAGCTCATCTGCCTCTGCTTGCCAAGGAGCCAACTAACATTGCGTTTGAGGAGGGGCCTGAGGCTGGCAGAGTCCTCACAGAAAGGTAATTACTTTTTAATTAGAATTCATTGAATAAGAGATAGATACCTTCCATACTTTCTCCCAGTGATGATTTTAATATTCCCCTGTCAGGTATTATGAGGCAGTAGCTGACAGTGAGTTACATGAAGTAATCCTGTAGCTGGTAGCAACTTGCATAAAGTAACCAACTTAACCATTTGTCTTAGGTAAAATATGGTCCCTGTCCTCACCTTTTTCCATGGAGTCTGTCACCGGCATGTTGATGTAGTGTTTGTTTACTCTCATTCCTGCAGGAGGAAATATCATAGTTCATGTATCAAATTACTGTAACCAACTGGAGCATTCCTATTTAAAATAATGTATCATTATATATTTTCATAATGCCATTGATGTATTTTCAGGACTTCTAATTTTTACAAGTGTATCTGAATATCATTTATCTAAGTGTGCACTTATAAAATCTGTGGTAATATCTGATCTCATTATAAAAATCAGCACCTAAGAATGGACTAGAGTAACTAAATCTGAAGCTGACTGGATATTTGTGATATTTTGATAGAAATAAGAAAGAATTTCAGGTTTTTTTCTTTTTGCTGCAGGGCCTCTAAACACAATCTGACATGTGATGTATTTTTGAAGTCAAAGTTAATAATTCTCTTTACATAAAAATAAATACCCCCTATTGAATACTCACTCTAAAATTAGAATTGCATATTTCTAAGTAATATATCTGAGGAAAGTGATTTATCCTAATGCAATAATGGCATAGATTTACAAAGCTTGAGTGATACAATGTTTCTCGTTATGGTTGTAAAATATTTGTTGCCACTGTGGGATTTTCTAGATCATTATTTTAAAAAAGGAAAAACCTACTTTGACAGATGAACTGGGGCCATTCTGAGCAAATCACAGATACTTCATATAACAAGGCCTCCAAAGAGGGGAGCACAGACTTATTACTATGGCAACCCAGATCAAAACACTATTTTAGTGGAGAGTTTCCAGTTTTACAATGCAATGATGATTGTTTATAGTACTATTGAAACCAGATTCTGCAAAGGTTCAAGAAATGAGCTGACAAGAGGAAAATCATTATAGATAAACTGGGGATACGTGAATGACATATTGTGGAATCTACTATTATTTGATCAAGTGATGAAATTGTGGCACAAACATAGATAAATAATAGTAGATGATACAGTCTGATGGACCCTATTTTGTTGGTTGTGGTTTATTATGTATCTGGAAGATAATTATTGGTTTAATGCTGCAAAACGCAAAAGCAGATTTAATAATAGAATTTACTGAACTTTGAAAAAAACTATTAATTGTCCCTAAGAATTTATAATATTTAAATTTTAAAATGCTTTCATTCCCAAACCATTGAGTAACGCCTACACCTGGTGGTGGGGTGCTTTTTTCTGAAAGTCCGTGATGGACTGGAATAATGCATGCTTAATCCTGTATCAGCTAATCAGTGCTTAGAACCGTTAGTCCTACAGCAGTGAACCTCTTCAAACCTGTCTCATATCTGCAGCAAGGAAAAACAAGCTGATTTTTTTCCCTCATGGCAGTAGCCTGGGAGCAGCTCTGGGCACCCTCCAGCAGGTTTCTGCCTTGTGTCTACTGGCTCAGAGAAGTGAGGTGGTTGTTAACCTCCTTCCGTGCTGAAATGATACCAGTTTCAATATAAGAACCACGAGAGTCTGGGGACAGTGATCTGCTTTCTGCTTAGGGTTATTTCTCAGCACAAGAGACATGGTGAGTTTACTTGTTCTGGCCTCTTTCCAAGTTCATCCCATTCTTCACCTCAAGATCTTCAGCAAATCATGACCACCCTCATCGAACTTCTTGCTAGCCCCACTTCTCAACTTTACCACATTAATGCTTAAAATCTTGAGTTCACCTGTCCGTGTAACTGGGCAGCATGGGAAAAGTCTCCACCCCACAGCATGAACAGAGGAAGCTCCTGGTGACTTCTTTAGGGGCTATAGAAGCAGCTCCTGTGTAGGCAGAGAAGTTCACAGCCTGAGAAATAAAGCTGGAAAGAAGAAAGGTGAATGAAGACTGATCACAGCAATATTTCTATACCTGTAACAGTCTGATCATTCCCGAGCACGCCTCTGGCACAGGTGCTTCCCTCTGCAGGATGAAACTTGCTTCCTGCTTTGATGTTTCTCTCTGTGGGACTGTCTGAGGGGACAGGTCTGAGAACAGCAGGACCTCCTGAGATGTGTTCTTACCTCTCCATCCCCAGAATTGTTTTCTTATGGGATCCTCAAGGTGAAAGTGTCTGTGAGCTCAGGGCACTTTTGTTCCCTGAAAGAAAGAAGATATTTACTTACAGAAGCCCTTAATCATTGACTGAAAACACAAAGTGGATGAAATGTTTTCAGAAGGATGATTTACTATGTAGTTTGTATATTATTGTGGATGGAGAGGCTTTAGTTCTTCATGGAAGTGTGAAGCAAAATTTTGCCTTACATTTGGTATTTGAGATGATGTAGGGAAAGCATTTTCTGGTGTAGTCGTACTTGGACCAGAATACAAAACACATCCTTTAGTAAACTGTGAAGCTTAAAGTTGTTCAAATGACACTTACCCAGCAAATAATTTTGAACTTGGGAGCATTAGAGAGGTCATATTTTCACATGCCTGAACTGCTGCTGAACAATCTTTTTTAGCCATTAAAAACACCCAGACTGTTTTCAACACCAGATACTATCACTCATCCTTGAATTATATTTTCCTGAGTTTATGACCACCCTTTCAAGGAAAATTAAGCCACTCCATTAACTCTGAGACTGGAGCACCCTTCAAAAATTTAATCCAGTAGAGCAGTTGCTGGTATTTATTGCTCTACCCTAATGCACTTGTATTTTCTCTGTCGTGCGAGGACTATTCAGACATCATACAAAAGTATCAGGAGTGTCTCAGCTCCTGAGATGCCACTGGCTCCACCCATTGAACAATTATAATATAATATTGCTCCTGGAATACAGATTGAGTCACCACATAAATGTAAGGAAGCAGTGAGTGCTTTCTACTGACTCCAGTGTGTTCATACACTCTAGTCTTTTCCATCTAACCTCACAAACATCTGTCTTCAGCCAAGAAACAGCAACAAAGATGTCAACAGCTGTTCTGTTCAGCCAAGTACAGTGCTGATGTTAAAGTTTTCCGAGATCACTGATGTCCTACATTATTAATCAAGGGCCTCAGAAATAATTCTGCTGACAGACTGCTTATGAAATATGTCTCCTGACTTCAAAGTATGGTCAGCTCCCTGTCATACAGCATGGAGCATAGATGAAGGCTGCAGGGCTGAGATTCAACTGGTTGAGAACTGTGTTAATCACTTGGAGGTCTTAAGAAGCATTCAACAGAAATGGCTGAGGTAACCACAGATCTCTCATTTTCCCTTGTAGTTTTTTGGCACAGTTACCTTTATTCTGGAATATCTCCATTAAGGTAATCTCCAGAATTCATGTGACAGTAATGGTAAAGAACATTTCTTGCCTTTGTTCATCCTGGCTTCCTGATACTAACTTCTGTTTATTCAGCTTACCTGCATGGTGGATGCCCTGTGTGGCCACCGGTAGACAACATCTAAAGAATATAATCACTTGTTTCCTCAATATTTCTGATTGTGCTTCCAACACTCCTCTACAGAGGACACCAGAGAGATGGCTTCTATCTTCCTGTGGCATTTCATGGTGACTGAGATAACTAAGACAGTAAAGACAACAATCTTCTCATTTAATAAAGTGGTGTGCACCAGCACAGACTCTTTTTTAACCTTACACCCTATTCATTTGGACACTTACATTCTCTTGGTCTTCAAGCTCTCTACCAGGTCATTGTCTGAGGCCTCTGGGTGTGGGATGGTGAAAATAACCAGAGACTGAGTTTTTTCAAAATCAGTTTAAAAAAATCTTAGAATATGAAGTTAGTACATCGTTTTGATATTAAATAGAAACAAACTTCAAGGGAAAAAAAAACCTAACACCCATGACCATTGCATGAAACCTCTCACAGACTGGGCAAAGCAGGAATAAGAAAATTTTGAGTATTAAAATAAGTCCAGGAGAGAGAAACAGAACAACCTGCTGGCTTAGAAATTTCTCTGTTCTCCTTTTGGTCATTTCCTTCAGCTCAGGCTCTCAACAACTTCTATCAGACAGAATGTCTTTAGCATTTTATCTCCAGTTCACAAAGAAAGTAAGACCTTTGTTAAACAGCATCTCCCTGATACAAAATGTCTTATTAATTTGAAATGCAAAATGGCTCCTGCATTTCAGAGAGCTGCCAGGTGAAGATGTCCCTGTGAGGCACAACAGTGGCTCTGGGGAAGATTGTCTCCAAGGAAGTGCAGCACAGAGCCAGGCGTGGGTGGGTTTTTGTTCTCCATCACTCACATATATAATAATAAATATATATTAAGAAATAATTGCATAACCTGATAATCTCTATGCTTAGAAGTCAGCACAGCTTTATTCCTAACCAGATCCCCTGCCACAGGGTAAATCTTCTCCATCAATCTCATCTATCAGCTTTGTGTAAGTGCTCCATCCAGTTCTCTGTACTGTTTTTATCAACAAGCACTGTCAGGTTAAAAAGTGGATGACTTACCTCCCCAAGCGATCTGAAGAATTCAGTGCCACAGAAACATGCTTAATGCTGGATAACCATGCACCTTTCCCAAGTGAATTTTTAATGGCTGGGGCTGCCTTACATAGTCTGCTGAGCAGAAGGAGCTGTGATTAAGCCCCACACTCCGTGATTTTCATCCAAAATTTTCCGCTCAGCAGTAACAAAATCTTATGTAGTTTTCACTAAACTCTCCTCCAATTTCCCACTGGCTTTTAGTATGTGCAGATAATTCAGAATAAAGCCCCTTGTCACAGTAATATGTACTCTAGCGTAGCACGGAGGAGCTGTTTCACCATGTAAAAGCCATATTGCCAAGCTGTATTATGCTTTACCTGTCACCATGCCAGGAAACATTTAACAAGGAAGGAAAACAAGGAGAGTGCATGTGTTGCCAGCTATTCAATATAGGCCATTTACTGTTAAACTGCGGAAAGGTGCTGGTGTTTAAATGCACCCTGGATTTCTTCTGATACTGGTAGAAAAAAGCTGAAAGGTTTTGCACTGTTGACCCGCAATTCAGTGCCGCTAATTTGGACCTGGGCTGTCTCACTAGGTCTTTATGGTTCACTGGTCTTTTTCTGAGCCTCAAGGGGTTTTTAGTTTGTTTGTTTGTTTTGAAAAAGTTTATGCTTCAGAAAGAGAGCATTTGGCCAAGTAACCACCTTCTGTTTCCGTGAGAAAGGGTAGCTCAGACTGCTTGAGCCCGCTGCAGGGACAGGGCTCAGTCTCGCACAGAAACTGGGACACCTCCGAGGTACAGGTGTCTTGCCATTGCAATGCCTTCCTCACCCTGGCAGCCCAAAGCCCTGAGGCTCCTCCTGGTGCTCCCCATGCAAGAAGCCGTGCCTATGACCAGTGCTAACACTCACCAGCAGAGGAAGGTGGAAAATAAGGGGTAGCCTAACTCCTGCCTTTTGGGAAAAGCTGAGGTACCACCCTTCAGTTCTGCTCCCTGCTGCAGGCACTGTCTCTGCCATTCACGTGAAGAACTAGTTTGGTGACAGCCATGAAGCTGGGACTGTAGGACGTGTCCTCCCTTTGGGTAAGTGGGAAAAACAGCAGCTGCAGTGTGCAAAGTCAAACTTTGTCTTCCTTTTTAGAAAATGGGGTGCCTTTGGTGGCAAATCAAACTTTGTCTTCTTTTTTAGAAAAGGGGGTGCCTTTGGTGGGAAGAATCAGATCTGCCTTCAGTGCAGCCCTGCTCTGGACAGCTTGTGGTTTGCAGAAGGGCAGAGATCTGCAAGTTACAGCAGCAGAAGAGGGGACAGGCTCAAAGGTCAGCACTCAGCAAGAAGATCTGGTACAAGAACCACCAACAAGTCTTAGTAAGTAGCTGTACAGTTAAGCTGTGACATTATGAGTATTTGTAGTTTGTATGATTTGATGCTTTTATTGTTTTTTCAGTTTCTATATGGTTGATTTGGGCTGTTGTTGGAGCACTATCAGCTAGTTACAGTGTGCTTTTGGAGAAAAAATTCAGATCATGGATGCAGAGTAGTGAAAGAGTAGCTCATGGAGAGGGCCAGGCTTTGTCCTGAAGCACGGAGCTGTGTGCCTCACTTCAAAGTGTCCTGGAGTCTGGTTTAAGCACTGCACTGAAACCCGGAGAGACCAACGACTGTTGCAAAAATGAGGTTGATGAGTGTTTTGCAACAACCTTGTTATAATGTGATCTACTGTGATCAGGTATGTTATTCTGTCACTTGAGCACGTGTCACTGTAATACAGTTTGAATCCAGGGCACCAGGGGATTGAGGTACCCTCCATTTACAGTTGTTTCCATGTAGGAACCTTGAGCTAAGGGAGGAAAACCTGAGCTAGGTTAGATATTATACTCTGAGCAAGACCCCGTGAGGACCTTGTAGTGCTTAAAATGTGGGAGAACATTGCAAGTGTGGCTGCACAGCAGCTCTGGGCCTCTCTACAGAGGCTTCACTGGGGACTGGGGAAGAACAAGGCTGCTCTGAGCCACACGAGCTGTGAGGGAAGATGGTCAGGCTGGTGTCGATGGCTGTACCTGGGCTTTTCCTTCCCCTGCTGCCCCTGTGAGGACAGTGCAAGCCAGAGAACTGACTCATCTTCCCATTCTCAAAGTGCATTGAAAAGACTGTTTCAAAGTGGAAACAAAAGGCCTAATTAGATGCAATCAGCAGCTCCTTGTCTCCTTCCTCTCCCCAAATGGTGCTGCCTCACTGACCCTGACAGTCATTGTATTAGTCCCCCCTTGACTGGCCTCTAAGTCTCCCCACCTGGTGCTCCAGTGCTAATTGGTACAATTAGCCTCTCCCTCCCTGGGCTAATTGCTAAAGACTGTCTCTCCATTCCCATGGGGACCAGAAGAAACTTGTACTAGAGGGGGGTCTGCAACCACAGAGACACCAAGAGGAAAGTGGGGAGCTGGGTTGGGCTGGTTTGCTGTTCTCTATTCTTCTCACGTTCACTCACACAAAGCACATAACTCTTTCTCTGAACAACACATAACATTCCTCTGGTTCATACTACCAATAAAGTAACAGGCTCTGCAGCACCAGGGAGCCGGTCATAGGATCTCTGGGGCCCTACGTGGCATTCAAGCACTTGGGCTGCTAATATGCACAAGGTAAAACTCCTTAGCTGTCTGCCCAAGGTCTTTGTAAGACACAGTTTATGCAAACACCTGTCTGGAG